CTCTCTCTCACACACACTCGCTCTCTCTCTCTCTCACACACACTCGCTCTCTCTCTCTCTCACACACACTCGCTCTCTCTCTCTCACTCTCTCGCGCACACACACGCACACTTACACACACACACACACTCACGCTTTCAGCTTGGCCGTGTACATTGACAGGTTGCCAATGAATCCTCAGCTCACTCCCCCAAACCCCACACCCTCAGCCATATCTGATGGAGGAGGTATCTTGAGGTCATTATCAGAGTTTACTCTCCCACGGTGATCTCTCAGGGTCACTGTGAGACATCATCCTGCAACAAAGTAAAGTTTTGGCTCCCCTGATGTTACGTACTGTAAATGGAAAGTGTGTGTCTTGTCCATGGAGTCGGCAGCTTCCTCACAACGAGCATCACTAATCACAAGCTTTGGACAGCAAGGAGAATCCTACAGACAGAGGGAGGAACACACAAACCTTAGGCAGGGTCCGCTTAAAGAGAACATGGCAAGACCTCGAGCCTAGAACTGAGGAGTTTAAAGGAAACTGGACATCCCAGTTTCTTAAAGGGGCAGAACACTGCTCAAATTTAGAAAATAATTGAACCCTTGCAATTATATAGTGCCTGTCACAACTATCAGACATTTCCCAGAGCTGTGTGCAGCCATGGAAATATCACACACACTGACTCTCCCTGGGGTATGGGCTCCCACAAACACACCGATTTTGGGGATAGTTTCACACATAGGCATACTTTTACCTGTGCTATGGTTTCAGCGCATATCAAACTCAGAAAATCTGATTGCTTCATATGCAGAGGAAACTTTATTCATTTTCTTAACAGTATTGTACTTGCCTGGAAGTGTTTGATCAGGACCATATAGAAGAAGCTTTACTGTGCGTGAAACCCCATGCTGTCCCTGTCCTGGAAGTGTTTTGTGGGGGACAGTGCAGAGAGAGATTTACACTTTATTTTCTCTGTGCTGTCCCTGTCTTGGGAGGTTTTGATGTGATAGTATAGAAAGAGATTTACTCTGTATTTAACCCTGTCCTGGGATTGTTTAATGGAGACAGTATAGAGGAGGCTTTACTTTCAGTTTAAAAAGAGTAGAGAGAGATTTACTCTGTATCATCCCTGTGCTGTACTTGATCAGAAAGTGATTGTAGGCGAAAGAATTCTATTCCTCAGCATCCCCATTTCTCAGTTTGATGAACCTAACTCTCATCCCATCTATCTGCAGTGTTATCTGCTGAATAGGGCATTTAATTCTCTTCTGAGGTTCGATTAACTCTGGGAGTATAATTAGTTTTGAATTGTCAAAATCTCCTGGCTTAGAAAGTCCTCGATTCTCTGATGTGGGTTCCACCAGATGACAACTCACCGTCAAGCTATCACTGTCGTTCTTGTAGAAACAGAGGGCTTGCTCCTTCAGAGTCACAAAATAGGTGGCCCAGTTTTCAGAGTCGACCTAAAGATGAAATTGATGTTTGGAGTGAAAAAGATGAAATTTGAGCTTACATTGTATTTTGTTACATTTTAAAAGAGTTTCAGAGACAGGCACTTTTGAAGTATTATGGACCAAAATGCCAAGCAAGATGTCGCAGTCAGCAATCTGATACCAACATACAAACAAGGAACAACAGTAGACCCACCCAGCCTGCTTCCTCATTCAATAAGATCATGGCAAGATCTGATTTTAGCCTCAACTCTACATTCCTACATCTTCGCCTTTCATCCCCTTTGTCATCAAGAATCTACCTACCTTTGCCTTCAAAATATTTAAAGATTCTGCATCCACTGCCTTTGAGGAACGGTATTCCAAAGACACTCAACTCTCAGCAAAATATGTTTCCTCATTTCTGTTTTAAATGGGTGCCCTTTAGTTTTAAACAATGGCCCCTATTTCTAGATTCTCCCACCAGAGGAAACATCCTTTCCACGTCCACCTGGTCAAGTCACTTCAGGATCTTCTATGTTTCAATTCAGTCACTTCAGACTTCGTCCAAACTCCAGAGGACACAGAGCCAGCCCGCCAGCTTTTCCTCACAATGCAATCTGCTCATTCCAGATATTAGTCCGATAAACCGTCTCTGACCTCCTTCCAACATGTAAGCCTCCTTCTGTAAGTACAGTGACTAGTACTGTACACAGTAGCCCAGAAGTGGTCTCACCAATGCCCTATATAAATGAAGCGTAACCTCCATACCCTTAATTCAATTCCCCTCACAAAAAAACATAACATTCTATGAGTTTCCCTGATTATGTGTTGTACCTGTAATTCATGAACCAAGACGCTGAGATCTCTCTTATCTAGGTGCTCTGTAACCTTTCACCTTTTAGATAACATGCTTTTTGATTCTTTCTGCCAATTTCCTACTTTCCCACACTGTACTCCATTTGCCAGGTCTTTACCCACTCACAACATGTCCATATCTCTTTGTAGGTTCCTATACCTTTTTCACAATTCAATTTCTATCTATCTTTGTGTCATCAGTCAATTTAGCTGCCATGCCTCCCATTCCTTTATGCAAATCACTTACAGAAATTATAAAGAGTTGAGGCCCCAGCATCGACCCTTGTGGCACACCACTTGTGACATCCTGCCAACCTTAAAAAATATTTCTACTCTGTTCCAGTTACTAGGAATCTTCTATCCACAAAATGTTATTTTCTGCAATAACCTTTGATGTGGCACCTACCAAACGTCTTCTGGAAATTGAAGCACACTACATCCACTGGTTTCTCTTTATCTACAACACAAGTTATTTAGAGTCATAGAGCATGGAAATAGACCCTACAGTCCAACTTGTCCATGCCGACCAGTTAGCCTAAACTAAACAAGTCCCAGTTGCCAGCATTTGGCCCATATCCCATAAGATCCTCCTATTCATATACCCATCTGGATGCCTTTTAAATGTTGTAATTGTACCCACCTTTACCATTTCCTCTGGCAGCCATTCCATACATGCTCCACCCACTGCGTGAAAAAAACTACTCTTTAGATCCCCTTTAAATCTTTCCCCACTCACCTTAAACCTATGCCTTCTAGTTTTGGACTGTCCCACCTTGTCTACTCACCCTATCTATTATCCCCATGATTTTATAAACTCCTATAAGGTCACCCCTCAGCCTCTGACGCTCCAGGGAAAATATCCCCAACCTATTCAGCCTCTCCCTATACCTCAAACCCTCCAAACCTAGCAGCATCCTTGTAAATCTTTTCTGAACCCTTTCAAGTTTCACAACATCCTTCCTATAGCAGGTAGACCAGAACTGAACTTTTTCAAAGAATGCAAACAAATTAGTTAAACTTGACTTCCCTTTGACAAAACTATGCTGCCTCTGCCTGATTACCTCGAACTTATCCAAGTACTCTGTTTATAACATCTTTAGTAATAGCTTCTAACAATTTTCCAGTGAAAGGAGGTAATCTAACTGGCCTGCTGTTTCCCACTTTCTGCCTCCCCTTTTTTTAATAAATGAGTCACATTAGCTATTCTCTAATCTTAAGGAACCTTCCCAAATCCAATAAGTTTTGGAAAATTGGAACCAATACATCGATTATTTCAAACAATAACAGAAATTGCTGGAGAAACTCAGCAGGCAGCTGGAGAGAGAAAAACAGAGTTAACATTTCAATCCAGAGACCCTTTCGTCAGACTGTGTCAGAACAACTTTCAGACTCCCAGGTTTCACTGGCTACTTCTTTTAAGACTCTGGGATGAATAGCCATTAATTATTAGATAATGACATGTAATCATGTTTTTCAGGGTAGGTCGAGGGATAGATATTAGTTGGGACCCTTCAGGTCACCGGACCCGAAATGTTAACACTGATTTTTTTTTCCTCACAGATGCTGCCAGACCTGCTGAGCTTTTCCAGCAACTTCTGTTTTTCTCTCCAATTCTTTGATTAGTGCCACTGGATTCTTTACGAGCAAATAGGAGAGCTCTTGGCAATATTCCCTCCAAGCCCGATGGACGTGCAAAGGCGGCCCCTTTAGGTCAGTCCTGTGAGAAAAGGAAAGGGCCCACACACTTTATGGCAAAAAAAAAGGTTAGGAAAAAAAGTTGTGGAACACGTTTGCAATTGGTGCCTTGGCTTAATATCTCATTCACAAGTCCGTCACTCCCTCTGTCCTGCACTGGACTGTCCAATTATCTGCTGGAGTCTTCGAGGGAGAAGTTGAACCCGCAATCTTCTGACTCCGAGGTGGGACTGCTACTCAATGGCTGACCAGAGAAAAGGGATGCATTGTGGGACATTGGTTCCTGACCCTGTGACCTGTTGCTGTTACACCTTATACAAGGAGGTGTCAGGTCAATCAACTCAACCTTCTCCTTCCAGCACTCTCCTCTCTCATCCAGAGCCCACAACTCCCTGTTGGGCTGCAGTTCCAACAAGGAATGACTGTGGCGCTGTGACAATCACACAGGACTGTCCCCTACCCAAAATTAATTAAACTTCTCGTTCCCCTCTCAGTTCCACTGTCACTCGGATTGATTGTTGCACCTTGCTCCGATTTCTGCCAGCAAGATCCCAACATGGGCCGAGTCTGAGCCCCAGCTCCTGTCAGGAGCAGGACTTCTGCTCAAAACTGCCAAGTGTCAAACTCATCAGTTACCCTCAGGCTCAGGAGGACTGTCAAAATGATGCAAAAAACGTCATAGTGCTTTCAGATCACTGTAAGAGGGAACATGACTGTACAGCTGGCTATGCCTATCTGTTGCGTTGAGTTTTCGAAAATAGTTCTCCCTCTTTACCCTCCCTCCTGCCAGCTCCTACCTTAATCCCTCCGGGCTGCAATTTGTGCATTCGTTCGAGTGTACCCCCCATCGCCTGGTATCCTACTGAAACCTGAGAAAGGAAAGAATCTCCGGTTATACAGCATCTTTCACAACTGATGTCCAAAAATGGTTTATGTGCATATTAAGTATTTTGGAAATGGGTGTTGGAAATGCCCTATAAAGTGATATGATGACCATTGGTTTGACCGATGTTGGTCAAGGAAGTAATATTGGTCCTGACAATCGTGTCAACTCCTGCCATTCTTCTTCGAATAAGTGTCTTTTACATCCAGCTCAGAGGGCCAGTGGGTCCCTTAGTTTAACATATCATGTGAAACACGGTCCCTCTGAGATTGCAGCACTCCCTCTGTACCGCACTAGAGTGTCCCCCTTGATTGCTACACTTAAGTCATGGGATGCGTTTTGAAAATTCTGACTCCGAATAATTTATCCAAGGGAGAGCCCCTCCGTAAGTGGTCCCTGTATTACAATTATACCATATATAGGCTAATCCCAGACACTGCACATAACAGGATCGGAACTGGTAGCAACAGTGCAGGCAGAGGAAAATGGCAGCACAGTCTCTGGTCTGACAATGACATACTATTGCAATGCATTAAGTGTTTTGTAGGCAGATGCACAGTCTATTTACTTGAAGCTAGATTCTATCATTTGGTGGTGTCGAACGATGGAGGAATGCTTTCTGGAAGCCTATGTCTGCTCTTTAACAGCATCAAGGGTCAATGAGGGTCTTGTCTGACAGTAACCGAGGAGAATCTGTAAACCAACGTACCAAGTGGACCCAACAACTTCAATTTACAAACAAAACTTCATTTAGAGTCATAGAGATGTACAGCATGGAAACAGACACTTCAGTTCAACTCATCCATGCCGACCAGATATCCTAAATTAATCTAGTCTCAATTGCCAGCGTTTGGCCCATATCCCTCGAAACTCCTCCTATTCATGGACTCATCTTTTAAATGTTGTAATTGTACCAGCCTCCACCTCTTGCAACTCCTCCTTTCACATAAATCAGAACCAATGTAAATGAAACACACAATAACAGACAAGCGGTGCTTCTAATTAAAGAATAAATTCCACTTTAAATAGTCAATACAGCAAAGATACAGCTTACAAAACCACACCAATTCACTCCACGTACACAACTACAGAATTCAACAATATGCTGTTCTTTCTTCGAGCTGGGTAGCTTGCACCCTTGAGCCTTTACAAGTATGATTGCCATCTGTAATTCTATGAACCCTCTGCCCTGAGCCATGACAGTCCTGACAGTGTACCTTTGCAGAGTTCCTTTTCAACCAAGTTGATGTTTTGGCCATTTCTGAGAAAACATCCACCTCTTTAATGCTTCTGAGCTATTTACGCAGCTTTCCAGGTTTTAGACTTTACTGCTGTCTCACCCAGTGCCTTCAAGAACTTGTCTCCTAATCCACCAAACAAAAAAGAAAGGATCTCGTCCTCAGAATAATTTGCTTCTTCTCATTCAAATTCCTTATGTTCTCCTTTCCTATCTCTGTCTGTATTCTCTTTATGTCTGCAACTGTGTGCTGATCGCCTTGCCCCAGCTCATCTGCTTGTAGCTATCCTTTGTGCCTGCCAGCTACAGAGTTTCTGGTCTGAACTTCCTCCCTATTGTTTCCACTAGCAGCTCAATGGTCTCCAGGCCACATGGACCCTGTATTTATTATATATGAAAGTTACAACTGACCCCTTTATACTTAATGCAAACTCTTACAAGTTCCTTTCAAACATTATTATGAATTCCACAGACACTTCAAAAGAAATTATTCAATATACTCCTTACTTTTGTCAGTTTAACATCTCATCTGGAAAATGATGGGTGGATTTGTTGCTTTCAGACTGAGTGGAGCCACGCGTAAACATAGAAGGGAATTATCTTTAAGGGCAGGTCAGGGTTTCCCACGTGGCTGCATCCTTCTCATCTCATTACATTTCTGTGTGTGGGGGTAAGACACTGCCTTTTACAGGCATGCAGGCAAAGGATTTCTATGCCCACTGGGATCTTCTGGGAGGCAACATTCAGGTGCCGTATTGAAAAGACAACCAGATATTGCTTCACTTTCTGCAGCCCTTGACCATCTATCAGTTTTCTCTCACCACTCCCCCCATGCATCCCCTGGAGATGTCCGAGACCATGTTTTAGCAATGAGCTTCTCCTGACGGCTACCCAGGAGGTAATGAAGCTGATTTCCCTGTGGATGCCAACGACAGGCCATCGTGACTGAGCAGAGAAGGCTGTGGAGGTCTCTGCCCACGTGCGGCTCAAGAGCCATGAGAGGATGGATAGTCTGCAGTGCCCTGCCAGGGTATGTACCACTAACAGCACACTAAGAGTGTAAGGCTACCACTGCACAGGGCTGTCACACACAACAGGCATCTCCATCAGAGGGGCTACTACAAGTCAGCAACTCCTGCACCACCAGCTCCCTGACCTTCCATCGCTATGAGGAGAATGTGTGGAAAGTGACAGCTTTTTACCAGAGGCTCCCAATGGGACAAAAGGTGGCTCTGAGTTGCTGCCCCAGTCAGGTCTGCTGGCCTTAGCACGTCTGGCTTTTGGCCTGGTTGCGCTTCACCTCCAGCACGCTAAGCATTTAATGACAAGCCGGACTTCATGTGGCTAGGACTTCTCATGAGCTGATCAACATGGAGAGGCTTCACTCCTAACACTGCATGTGTATGCATTAGGAATCACCTTGGTTATGAAGGAGCAGAGTAACTGAAGAAAGTTACACTCACTGGACCTGGAAGGGCGAAGTCCACCCTGCAAGGTACCTACATGCCTCACGAGTTTGTGAACACGTGTGTTTTCTGGGGTCGGCACGGTGGCTCAGTGGGTTAACACTGCTACCTCACAGCACCAGGGACCCGGGTTCGATTCCACCCTCGGGTGACTGTCTGCGCAGAGTTTGCGCATTCTCCCCATGTCTGCGTGGGTTTCTTCCGGGTGCTCCGGTTTCCCCCCCACAGTCCAAAGATGTGCAGGTTAGGTGAGATGGCCATGCTAAATTACCCGTCGTGTCTGGGGGTGTGTAAGTTAGGTGGATTAGACATGGGATAGGCAGGGTTACAAGCATAGGGTGGGATGGTCTTTGGAGGTCAGTGTGGACTTGTGGGGCCGAATGGCCTATTTCCACACTGTAGGGATTCTATGATTGTTCACAGTGGGTGGGGTGTTAATGAATATTCAGGGCATGTTTATGAATCCCACCTGAAAATTTCTGGGAACTTAATGCTCACATTTTAACCCACTGTCAGAAAATTGATTTCTTGCCTCCTGCCTGATTATGTTCTCTGACCCATCCTCTGGGAGGCTAGGGGAGTTCTACAGGCATTTCTGTCTGAATTAACCACTTGTGCCTCAGAACCCATGGTATAGAAAGTAACATAGAAAACAGGAGCAGGTGCAGGCTATTCGGCCCTACGAGCCTGCTCCACCATTCAGATACAAACCTGATGCCAAATGAGCCACATCGGAAGCAAAGTAACAGAGAGGTGTGAATAGGTCAGGGGTAGAAGGATAGATTGGAAGTAATAACGGGGAAAAATAATGGCGAGGACTAATAAAAGAAAGGCACGAAATATGGAAAGACAAACAGAGAGAGGCGCAGCAGGGGCGGGAAGTGGCAACATCTCAAAAAGTTAATGCCAAACGTCGCATTGACTTGCAACATCAGAGAAATGCTTCAGCTAGCTCCGTTCCTACCTTTTCACCTGTCGATGTTGCTGTCGAGATCAATGGCTGAACACTCTGCTGAGTCGCAGTGAGTGATAACAGCTCTGTGTCCCCAGGCCCCTGTCTCTCCCCGGGGCTGGACGCAGAGTCCACAGTCAAAGTTGTGGCTCGCTCTGGGCAAAGCTCTCCCTGGGAAGAACCGTCAGAGGTTAGAGGGCTTTGGGCTGTAGTTGCCTCGGTGCTGGTGCCAACTCGAGCCGGCGAGATCAGATCTTGCACCTCACTGGACGAGAGCCGGGGGAGTGGTTTGGGTGGCAGTGAGACATTGGCTCTGGTTGGATTCGAAGCTCTCACAGCTGGACGCCCTGCTCCAAGGCTGAAGGACTTTGGTGACAGAGGTGATTGGACAAGGGACCGTCTCCTGTCCTCTCCAGTATCTGGACCCCTCTGGAGAGTCCTTCTGACTGGAGAGAAGAACAGGTCAGACGTTGAGGGCGTCTTTGGAGCTGGGCTAACAATTGTCTCTTTTGTCCAGGACTTTGGGGACCTCCCAAGGTCTGGATCACGTTTTCCAACGATCTTCAATGGCGTTGGCTTCTTATCCGATCCCTTTTTCTTCAGCGACAGGACCCGGGCCACCTTGCGTTCTTTCTCCTTCACACTCGCCTCTGTTCGGAACCCTTCTCCCTAAAACCGAGCAAAGAACAGTCTGAAATTACACAGTCCTACTTGCTACAAAGCTGTTAAACACAATAAGACTAAGCCTCGTCTCCCTGTATGTTCAGTGTGCCGTTAACACTCTCGCTCAATCGTGAGGCTGAGATACACAGGTTTCGATTGAAACTACGCTGCACGCCTGACCTTTACCGTTTTCTCCAGTTGGCTAATCTTCTCATTCTGAGCTGCTAGCATCTTCTCGAAGTCTTCGTGCCTCTTGATCAAATCTTCCACTTCGTCGACAGAATCCTAAGAGGGGACATGAGAAAGTCAGCGCTGAAGGGAGACAGGACAGCTGGAGGGCAGGTCAATTGTAAACTTCCACTTACAGTCCCCTTCCCAGCCATTGAATTCTGTATAGGATTTATTTGGGATGTAACAGTCCCCGATCCCTGGCCTTCCCCACAAGTCGAACATTTATCAATTAGTCTGTCAAGTGTCATTTTAAAGACCCCTCTTATGCTAATCTACATCCCTCTCTTTGGTGGAGAAAAGTGCTCTGCAATGTTCAATCTTTCCTGAGAGTTGTAACCTGTCAGGTCCAACATGATGCTTATGGTGGGAGGTCATAGTTCAGGCCTGGCCTGGCCTGGCTCAGCTCAGTTTCACTGGTTTTTATGTCATCACCTGAATCAGAGTAGCTTGCAATGTTGGCCAAAGGAATGTACACAGACCAAGGTAACTGCCTCTCAGCTCCAGTTCCCTCTAGTCGCCTGCTTACTGTCGTCTGTCACAATCCAGAGAATCAGCAAGAGCCAGCAATAACAGGCCTGGAGATCGGTCTTACCCCATAGTTGTTGCTTGTCACTAGTCCCTCCTTGGAGCTCAGCCATGCAGCCAGCAGCTCGAGTTCTCTGAGCTGGGCCTCCTTCCACAGCTCCTTCTCGTACAGCTCCTCCAACCTTTCCCACTTCTTCACGAGCTCATCCATATTCTCGGACAGTTCATTCAACTTCTCATCAACCTGTTCAGAGGGAAAATGCACAGCACATGAGCCAGGGGTGTGTGTGTGTTAGTGCGTGTGCGAGTGTATGTGTCCGTGTGCGTATGTGTGCGCGCGTGTGTATATGTTTGTATGTGTGCATATGTGTGTGTATGCACGTGTGTGTACATATATGTTTGTGTGTGTGTACGCATGTGCGTGTGTATATGTGCGCGTGTATACGCGTGCGTATATGCGTGTGCACGCGTGTATATGTGTGCGTGCACGTATATGTGTGCATGCATGTATATGTGCGTGTGGAGGTGAGGGGTTTGGGAGATTGGGGTGTGGTATGGCAGAGTGGTTCGGGAGAGGTGTGTAATTTGGGCTCTATAGTCTTGGATATAGCGGATTACAGGGATCCCAGTGTGAGGGGATTACAGTGATCCCAGTGCGAGGGGATAACAGTGATCCCAGTGAGAGGGGATAACAGTGATCCCGGTGTGAGAAGGGATTACAGTGATCCCGGTGTGAGAAGGGATTACAGTGATCCCAGTGTGAGAAGGGATTACAGTGATCCCAGTGTGAGAAGGGATTACAGTGATCCCAGTGTGAGAAGGGATTACAGTGATCCCAGTGTGAGACGGGATTACGGTGATCTCGGTGAGACGGGATTACGGTGATCTCGGTGAGAGGAGAATACGGTGATCTCAGTCTGAGAGGAGAATACGGTGATCTCCGTGAGAGGGGATTGCGGTGATCTCCGTGAGAGGGGATTGCGGTGATCTCCGTGAGAGGGGATTGCGGTGATC